TATTTGTTGTTTATAATTTGTATCTTTACCTTCTTCTTCTTCTTCCTCTTCTTAAAGGATACCTTTCAGCATTTCATATAATACTGGTTTGGTGGTGATGAACTCCTTTAGCTTTTCCTTATCTGTGAAGCTCTGATAATTGATTTTCTTCAAATGAATAGTCTAAGATGTTTGAACTTATGAATTTGATTTGCAGTTGATATTCCTCTCCCTTTAACATAGATTTATTAAGATTTAAGTCGTATTAATCACACAAATGATAGGTCTTTTCTCCCATCTGAATTTGGGGATGTATTTCTAAATATAGTAGTTGACACAGATGTTTGTGTGATTTTGCCTAGGGATTGCCAAATTGCTCTTTTCAGAGCCTTTATGTATGTATGTATTTACTTATTTAATCCTCACCCAAGGATGTTTTTCATTGATTTCAGAGAGAGGAAGGAAGTGGGGAGGGCAGGAGGGGGAAGGGAGAAAGGAGGGAGGGAGGGAGAGAGGGAGAGAGAAACATTATTAAGAGGGAGAAATGTCAGTTGGTTGAGCCCCAATCAGAGATCAAAACCCCAACCCTTTGGTGACGGAACAACACTCTAACCAACTGAGCCACACTGGCCAGGGTGTCTACATATAATTTTAAGGAAGTTCAAACCTTGAAAAAGGGGAGCGTGGCAAATACAATGATTCTTTAGTTGAAGGAATGTTGAACTTAACATTGTTCTAGAATTAAATCACTGTTGGAAGCCTGTGGTTCCTCTGTTTTATTCCTTTTTTGGGTTAAAAATCAATGCTTAACTTCCAGCCCCATGTCATAGTACACTGTGCAGCAGAGAGAAGGCCAGATGTTGTAGAAAATCAGCCAGATGCTGCTGCTCAACTTAATGTGGATGCTTCTGGGAATTTAGCAAAGGAAGCAGGTAATGACTACTTCATAAAATCATTTTATAAAATATTAAATGATTGCTGAGTTTGTAAAGATTAAACTTGTATAGATTGCTTATAAGAGATTTGTCTATGATACATATGAGAATATCATATATAAGCTATTAAAAATTACAGATAAGATTAATGTTATATTTTAATTTTAATAATTTTTTGTTTTGTTTTTTGTTTGTAGCTGCAATTGGAGCATTTCTAATCTATATTAGCTCAGATTATGTTTTTGATGGAACAAATCCTCCTTATAGAGAGGAAGATATACCAAGTCCCTTAAATCTATATGGCAAAACAAAATTAGAAGGAGAAAAGGCTGTTCTGGAGAACAATTTAGGTAAGACACAACAATCTCTTTAGCCGTAGATTTGTTTTTGGGATTACTTTTTGTTTATGGTGTGTGTGTGTGTTTAATTAAAAGAATATCAGTCAAAGAACAAGTCACTGGGGAAAAATGAGAGAATCTACATTAATAAAAGAGAAATATGTAAATTGGCTGTCACTTTGCTACACCTACCAGCCAATTAGGATGAGTATGCAAATTAACCCAACAAAAATGGTGGGTTAATTTGCATACTCAGGCACGGAGCGAAGACTGAAGGCTCCGAGCGAAGAATAAAGATGACTGAAGACTGAAGAGGCTTGGCTTCTCCGCTGCACACGGACCAAAGGCCTGGGTCCTGGGTGCCGGAGGAAAACCAGTGCCGGCAGCCAGGGGAAGGAGGGCCTATTGCGCGAATCTTTGTGCAACGGGCTTCTACTGTAGTTAATAAAAAAAGAAAAATAATTTTAGAAATCTTAAAGGATTTGTGAATTTTTCCAGATTTTTTCCTAGTATCACTATGTACATAAATATTGTTGTGTATAGGAAAAATAAACCATACAGTACAAATTTTTGTAATCTGGTTTCAAAAAATGAGCCAATATAATTTCTCTTAGATCAGTGGTTCCCAAACTTATTTGGCCTACCGCCCCCTTTCCAGAAAAAATATTACTCAGCGCCCCCTGGAAATTAATTTTTTTAAAAAATTTTAATAGCAATTAAACAGAAAGATATATGTATTAATGTTTCTACCTTTTTCGTAAAATATAGTAAAGAAAGGTGTAAATTAGAAACATTGAAGTTTGAAATTATGAAACTATTTATTGAACTCAGAATAGAAAGGTAATACAAAAAAAATTAAAACAAATGCACCTGTGGCCATCACCGCCCCCCTGGATCGCTGCAGCGCCCACCAGGGGGCAGTAGCGCCCACTTTAGGAATCACTGTCTTAGATTGAGGTCTTCTGTTATTTGTGTGGTTTTTCTTTTCTATGTGTGTTTGTGTATACATCTGTATGTGCTGATTATAAAAGGCATGTACCATCCTTGCAAAAGAATTTTGTAAAGTTTGAAATTGTAAGGAGTGAAAGTTCTCTTCATTGCTGCCTCAGAGAGAAGCACCGAATATGGTTATATATGCATGCATTTTTTGTGGATTTTTAAAAGGTGTGCATGTTGTTTTGTAATTGGTGTGTGTGTGTGTCCCCTCATATACTTGCATTTTAGTACAGGTGGAGCCATCACTTGGATATCATTTCCTATCAATGGCTGCATCGTACTTGATTTAATGATCCCTATACTAAAACTATTGCTTTTGTCTTTGAGAAGCATCCCCTAGTATAGATACTAATAGATATTTCATTTATCAGGCTTTTTTTTTTTTGGTATTGTAAATTATCCTGCAAAAATTATCCTCAAATTACTTATCTATACATGGTTGTCTAATAAGTTAATTTAATTAAACTGTTTGGCCCTAGCTGGTTTGGCTCAATGGATAGAGCATCAGCCTGCGGACTGAAGGGTCCCAGGTTCGATTCTGGCCAAGGGCACATGCCTGGGTTGCAGGCTCGATCCCCAGTTAGGGGCGTGCAGGAGGCAGCCGATCAATGATTCTCTCTCATTGATGTTTCTCTCTTCTTCTCCCTTCCTCTCTAAAATCAATAAAGAAATATATTTTAATTAAACTGTTTGATTTTCAATTAAAGTGTCAATTATCTAGTCTGTTGTAACCCCTCATTAGGGACCAACATAAAATCTAAATACATCCTAATTCTTTAATCAGTGGTTTCAAGATTTATGTGGTAAATACTCACATACCCTTTATATAGATGCACCAATTGCCAATGTTTGCCACATGTGTTTTGTACATAAATTTTTTTTTCTGTATTAAGAATCAGTTGCATTTTACTCCAAAATACTTTACTGGATATCTTCTAGCCAGGATGCTCTTTACATAATTACAATGTAGTTATCACACTCAGGAAATTAAACATTACTGTCATATAATATAGAGTCTATATAGGAATTTTCCCAGTTGTCCCAATAATGTCCTTTATTGCATTTTATTTTTTAATCTAGGATCCAATCAAGGATCACTCATTGCATTTAGTTGTCATGATCAGTTTTATTTTTAATGATCATAATAATGAAGAAATTATGTGTAAAAATACCCCAAATGAGAGAACATTTAAAAACACCCAAGATGACATTTGTTAAATGGGCATTATTACAGTGAGCTGTGTCATTTTGGTCTGTTGTAAGTTTTCTACAATATTGTTTAAATCCACATACTTTGATCTTACATCAAAACTTAACCAATCAGCTTTAAAATGTTACCTGCTTCATTTCTAGGAGCTGCTGTTTTGAGAATTCCTATTCTGTATGGAGAAGTTGAAAAGCTGGAGGAGAGTTCTGTGACCGTTATGTTTGATAAAGTGCAGTTCAGCAATAAGTCAGCGAACATGGACCACTGGCAGCAGAGGTTCCCAACGCACGTCAAAGACGTAGCCTCCGTGTGTCGTCAGCTAGCAGAGAAGAGAATGCTGGTGAGAATCTTTGCAAGGAAGATTTTCTAACTTCCATCTTATTAAAATCCTGTTAATGAGCGGAAGTTAAAGTGCTTTATTTCTACTTTTTAAATTTTTTTATGATTTTTCAATTGGAGTTTACATTCAATATTATTTTGTATTAGTTTCAGGTGTACAGCACAGTGGTTAGACAATCATATACTTTAAAAAGGGTTCCCTCCCCCAAAATAAAAAATAAAATAGTGTTCCCCCAATATTTCTGGTACCCAACTGGTACCATACACAGTTATTCTAATAATATTGACTCTCTTTCCTATGCTGTACTTTATAAAGTGCTTTTTTAAAACTGTAAGGAGAGCAAGCAAAAATAGTTTACAGATAGATAGTAGGCTATATTTATGAGTTATAAAAATACACCCTTGTGTTTGCATTTCTCAAATACTACAGATCCCATCTGTCATTCTTTTATTACAAGATGACTTGAAAACTTGTATTCTTTGGGTAACAAAGTAATCTAATGTCCTAAGAATTTTGATTAAGCACTGTGTAATGTTGAAGAAGATTCTACATAGGAATTCACAATTTCAGCCACTTTAGGAGTTAAATATTTGAATATCTTGGAGCTAAATAGAGTATTCATAAAGAGACTAGAGACTGATTTATTTTAGAATATTAATAATAATATGACTATACTTTTAACACATAAAATTTTATATATATCTTAAATATATACTCTGACAGTATTTGATAATGTTATAACTAATTAGCTCATCTTGAAAAATGGTTCTATTAAGGTTTGTCTTTAGCTTAGAATAATTAGAAATACTCATTATATTGAACTATGCTTCCATAAAAACCTGTAATCATTTTTGGGATTCTCGCTAAAATAGTCACCTATATTTTTATTTAAAAAAATACTCAAGGCTAAATTCTAGAAATTGCTTTTCTTTTTTTTTTTTTTAAATATATATTTTATTGATTTTTTACAGAGAGGAAAGGAGAGGGATAGAGAGCTAGAAACATCGATGAGAGAGAAACATCGATCAGCTGCCTCCTGCACGCCCCCCACCGGGGATGTGCCCACAACCGAGGTACATGCCCTTGACCGGAATCGAACCCGGGACCCTTCAGTCCGCAGGCCGACGCTCTATCCACTGAGCCAAACTGGTTAGGGCTAGAAATTGCTTTTCATGTTAGTTAGGAATATACTTGGTTTTAGATATCTTGTGGAGAACATTCCAGAGAGGAGAGATTTTAATTCCTGGGCCTTTTGATTACCTTTCTTGTCAAACCTACCATTCAACTCAAATCAGAAAGTTAAAACTATTTTGAATTTTGTGTCCTTGTCAGGATCCATCAATTAAGGGAACTTTTCACTGGTCTGGAAATGAACAGATGACAAAATATGAAATGGCATGTGCAATTGCAGACGCCTTCAACCTCCCCAGCAGTCACTTACGACCAGTAAGTATATGGTATTTAAAGCCTCGCTTTTTGAAATTCCAGAACTAACACTGTAGTGTGTATTATTGATAACATTTCCTTGTTGCTTTGGAAGTATTGGTAACTTCCATTTTCCGGTATTAATCACAGTGACCCTTGCTTGTATGTGGCAATTTATATTGTTAATTTTCTCTAAATTATTATGCATAAAGGAGCCAATCAGTATTGGTGACATTTATAGAAAATGTATTATCTTGATTACAGCAGCTTTTTAAAAATATATATATATTTTTCCAGGGATCTAATAAGATTTGTACTGAGGGCTAAATGAAGTAGAGTATATAAAACCTCAACGTGTAGCCTTTCATGTGTTTTTTATGTTTTCTTTTTATTTTTCTTTCAAGATAACTGACAGTCCTGTCTTAGGAGCCCAACGTCCAAAAAATTCTCAGCTTGACTGCTCCAAATTGGAGACCTTGGGCATTGGCCAGCGAACACCGTTTCGAATTGGAATCAAAGAGTCACTCTGGCCCTTCCTCATTGATAAGAGATGGAGACAAACGGTCTTTCACTAGTGTATGTGTTGTCTTTTTTTTTTTAACGATAGAGTATGTGGCACTTTCTAAAGGAAATAGTTTTGTATGAGTGCTCTTTAGTTGTGACTTAGGATCTTTCAGGTAAACGATGCTCTTGCACTAGTGAAATCGTGTAAAGAAACTGAGGTCAATAATGCCTTGCTTGATGTAATGATGCTTCTTTTTATCATTTTGTTTGTTCTGGCTTAATTTGCTGTTTGAATGTAGTAGATTATGATTCTTCAGTATTTGTGAGCCGGGATGAAACAGATCTGCTGTAGACTTTATTTTTGAGGGAGTGGGGATGAAATGCATTGTTCATTCCTCAAACCTCTACATTTTCAGGACTATTGCAACTGTTGACCCTTTTCTGTTTTAAAGTGTTAAATACTATGAAAATCATTGGTGTTCATTATTTTCTTTGCTTGAGCCCAGATCAAAATGTTTGAAGAAAGAAACTTTATTTTTGCAACTTAAGTGTGGTTTTTATGCTTGAGATATTTCTACATGTCATGTATATTGTCACTCCTGCAGCTCCATGCCTCCTGCTTGTGTAGCAGTGTATGGTGAACACTTGAAAGAGAATGTGTGTATGTGTCTGTATTTTTAAATATATATAAAACTGTTGTTTTCACTCCATGTCACTAAGTGATATTTCATATGTATGGTTATACTGATAATAATGGGCCTTGTAAGTCTTTTGACCATTCAAAATAATAATAAATGTGTACTACTGGCATGGGAATGCTGAGTTTTCTTACATTTCTTTTTTTAAATGTAAGGACCAACCATATAGACTGTTATTTTGTTGCTTTAATTTTTAAAAATTACATTATTACCATCTGATGCATACAAGAGAACGTAGTTAAAATATATATTGAGATCCAAAACACTAACACACACCAGGAAACTACCACTTGAGATCTAAATTGTTCCAGGTATTATGTCAACTGTGTCAGCTGGTTGTTTTTTACTAAAATAACTAGTAACATATATGTTACATATTTACATAGAACGTTTTTTCTGAAGAATGCAGAATATCTGAATATATTATCTGCACTAAGTGATACTCAGGTGACCTTAGCCTCAACAATATCTTCGGTTCTTAGGAAGGTATGACTTGGCTTCTATTCGGGGGTCCATGCACACCCTAGTTTCAGATTTTCTGGTATCACTCATGGGGTATTCTTTCCCTAGATTATGATCTTATTCTCTCATTGGATAAAATGTCCTAATTTACTTAGAATTTGAGGTTTAAAGAAGAGCCAATTGGGGAGATTTGGTTAAAGCAGCAATTCCCAAACCATGCTATCTATGTTTATCATTAACTAGGGGAATATTCACCAATCGATACTTAAGCCCTCACCTGGGCCCACTGAAATAGAATTTCTGGCCTTGATGTTTGCTAATTTAGTTTTAAATGTTCCCCACGTGCTTCTAAGGTAGCCTGGCACATATATTTGAAGCATTCTGTTTCTTTAAGTTCATTTCATGTGGTACAAAATTCAAATTTTTAGAGTTTGAAAAACCTTTCTCATTCTTCTCTAGCCACCAATCCTTCCAACTGTGGAGGAAACCAGTGTAGATCAGATTCTGGTATGTTTCTAGAGATGCTCTGCGTATATAAGACTACACTCGCAAAACGTGTATGTGTTCACACTCGCCATCCCTTCTTTATTTACACAGAGTAGCATAGTACACATTTTCTTGCACTTTATTTTTTCATTTAATATGCCTTGGAATTTGTTTATATTAATTACAAAGGAAGTCCATGTTCTTTTTTTGAAATTTCAATCTTACAGAAAAATTGCCCTAACTGTATAGAATGCCTGTATTCCCCTTTCCAGATTCCCCAGTTGTCAACATTTAGCCACATTTATCATTTTTTCTTTCTCTGTATATATACACAGAAGAGAGTATTATCTGTTTTCCTGAACCATTTAAGAGCAAGTTGCGGCCATGGTGTCAAATCACCCACTTTATCTTTATGGTGTGTAAACTTAACAATGCCTTATAAAAATAAGAATGCACTTCCACATAACTCTGTAATATAACCGTCAAAAAACTCAAGCAGTTAATTTTGATAAAATTGTTTGATCCTCATTGATAGCTCCAATTCTGGTCTTGCTCTGGAGGGTTTCTTTTAGCTTCCCTCCTTCCATATTTGCAGCTCCTTTATTCATTTGTTCATGTCATCGATAAGAATCATTTTCTGATCACACCAGGTCCCCACTGGTCCCCTCATCACCCAGGCCTCCTTGAGCCAGGTGAGCATTCCTGAGCCCTGGGCCCTGGCCCTGATGTCAAACCTAGGCCGTTTGACCTTTCAATATAAATCCTTCACTATTTCATTGCTGTCTCTTACCCATTATTGCTTTCATTCTACCTCATGGATATTACACCTGTAGTCTGATGGTGGTAGGTTGAATAATGCCCCCCACACCGACATGTCTGAGTCCTAATCTCCAGATCTGTGAATGACACTGTATGACAAAAGGGACTTTGTAATTAAGAATCGTGAATGAGATTATCCTGGTGGGTTCAGTGTAATCACAGGCAGGGGAGTAGATAAATAGTAGATGTGGTCACAGAAGCAAGAGGTTGGAGTGATGATGCCAGAATGAGGTCACAAGCCAAAGAATCTAGGCAGTCTCCAGATAATAAAAAAGGCAAGGAAACATTCACCCCTAGGGCCTCTGTATGGAGCAGGACCCTGCCAACAACACCTTGATTTTGGGCCAATGAACCCCATTTCAGAATAATGACCTCTAGAACTGAAAGATAATAGATTTGTACTGTTTAAGCCACCAAATTTGTGGTACAGTAGCAATGTTACATAGCAATAGGAAACTAATAAACTGATCCTCTGATTTTCATTTATTTATTTTTTAGCTCTTTATCTTTTTACTCTATATTCTGGGAGATTGCCTTAACTTAAAATTTTTTTTATCCAATTCTCAATTTTTCTTTTTTGTTATCTGAGTTTCCAAGAGCTTTTCTTTGTTCTCTCAGTGTTTCCTTTGACAAGAAACAAACCATCATCCTATTTTATGCATGTATGGATTCTTTTTTTAAAAATATATTTTATTGATTTTTTTACAGAGAGGAAGGGAGAGGGATAGAGAGCTAGAAACATCGATGAGAGAGAAACATCGATCAGCTGCCTCCTGCACATCCCCCACTGGGGATGTGCCTGCAACCAAGGTACATGCTCTTGACCGGAATCAAACCCGGGACCCTTCAGTCCGCAGGCTGACGCTCTATCCACTGAGCCAAACCTGTCAGGGCTGGATTCTTTATTTCTCTGAAATATTAGTGCTAGGTGATAGTTTAGTTTTTTGTACTTGTTTTTTAGTTTTAAGATACCTGTTTCCTGTCCTAGCTGGTTTTGCTCAGTGGATAGAGCGTCGGGTTACGGAAGGGTCTTGGGTTCGATTCTAGTCAAGGGCACATGCCCCGGTGCAGGAGGCAGCTGATCAATGATTCTCTGTCATCATTGATGTTTGTCTCCTCCCTTCCTCTCTGAAATAAAAAATAAGTAAAAATAAAACAATAAAAAGAAAAGATACCTGTTTCCTCCTCACTTGGTCTGTTTTGTTTTCTTTAGGGGCTTTGTTAAGCTGTCCAGTACTCCTGGGCTGTCTGATCGTGACTGAGTGAGACATAAAAGGCTAATTGGAATTGCTGAGTGTCTGTGCAGGAGGGCTGGCTTGGACGTCCTAGGATGATTAGCCGTGTCCTTGGCCTCTACTCACTAGATACCAGCCACATTCCTCCAGACATGACAATCAAACATGTTTCCAGACATCACCAAATGTTCCCTGGGAGCAAGGTGATTGCAACTGAGAACAGCTATTCCAGGACCATGAGAACGGTCCCATTTCATTGGGGAACCCCCAATGCCATTAAGTTTTTCAGGTCCGATTTCTCAGAAAAGGGCCTTCCAGTCCCCTGCTTGGAGGGCAATGGTCTGACCACCAGCAATGTGGAGGCTGGGTAGAGAAGCCCAAGGTCTGCACTGTTAAACTGTTGGGGTGAAAGTTCTATCACAAAAAGTATTGCTCTAGGGAGGAGAGAGCTAAGCAAATCAACACCTCTCATGCCTTTAAGCTATTTTGAGAGGCTGGAGATAAAAGGGGCCAGATGGGCATGGGGGGCTGACTGAATAGTACACAATAAGATAATTAATATTAAATGTCTTATATTTGGGCATGTCAAGAATGGTCTGGGTGCCAAAATAGACTATTTTGCTGTAGACAGTGTATTCATTTTCTATGTGGCTTTAACAAATTACCACCATCGTAGTGGCTTAAACAATTTGATTGATTGATTTACTTTTGTTAATCCTCACCTGAGGATATTTTTCCATTGATTTTTATTTTATTTTTTTAAAAATATATTTTTATTGATTTCAGAGAGGAAGGGAGGGGGAGATAGAAACATCAATGATGAGAGAGGATCATTGATTGGCTGCCTCCTGCACTCCCCCTAGTGGGGATCAAGCCTGCAACCTGGGCATGTGCCCTGATCGTATGCCTGGAAACTGAACCATACCACTGAGCCACCCCACCCAGGTTTTCCATTGATTTTTAGAGAGAGTGGAAGGAAGGGAGAGAGGGAGGTGAAGTGAGAGAGTGTGCCATTGATTGGTTGCCTCCTGCACAAGGGATTGAACCTGCAACCCAGGTATGAGCCCTTGACTGGAAACTGACGCTCTAACCACTGATCAACACCAGCTAAGACTCAAGTGTGTGGTCTTGCAGTTCTGTAGGTGACATGTCTGGCACAGGAATCACTGGGCTAAAATCAGATGTCTCCAGGCTGCAGACCTCTCTGGAGGCGCCAAGAAAGAATACATTTTCTGCTCATTTGGGTTGGTAGAATACAGCTCCTTGTGTCTCTGGGAACAAGGTCCCCGCCTGCTGTTTATAAGGCAGGGGCTGTTCCCAACTTCAGGTCACCATACCACATTCTTTATCTTGGGGCCCTCTTCCTTCATCTTCAAAGCCAGCTTCAGCTGGTCGATTCCTCATGTCGAATCTACCCAAGCCTTCTGTCTCATCTTTCTCTGCCCACAGCTGGGAAAGTTTCTCCAGTTTTAAGGAAGCATGTGATTAGATTGGGTAGCCCAGAGAACCAGGCATACTCTCCCCTTCTCAAGGTCAGTAATTTTTTTTGTTAATCCTCATTCAAGGATATTTTTTCCATTGATTTTTAGAGAGAGTAGAAAGGAAGGGGAGAGACAGAGAGAGAGAAACATCTATGTGAAAGAGACACATCGATTGGCTGCCTCCCACATGCACCCCGACCGGGCAGGGATGGAACCTGCATCCCAGGTATGTGCCCTTGACTTGGAATTGAATTCCAGACCCTTTGGTGTGCTGGCCGATATTCTAACCACGCACCACACTGGCCAGGGTTCAAGGTCAGTAATCTTAATCATATCTACAAATTCTATTTTTGCATCTAAGGTTCTGGGGTTCAGGGTGTGGACATCTGTTGGTGACCATAATCCTGCCTACTATGTAAATTAGATGCGGTGTGTTCTGTAACTACAAAATGAAATTTAGAAATGGCAGCTTGAAAACTCAAGGTAAAAATGTTCCATCATTTGCTTAAAACTGTTAAATCGGGATAGCAGAAACACAACAACCAGCCTTTGACAGTTTTTCTTCTCCCCAAATCTGGTTGTTTTATTTTTACTATAATCTTTATTTAATCTTTGGTGAAGATTCTTTCTTCATA